AAATAAATAAATAAATAAATAAATAAATCTCTTATAAAAAACAAATAAATAAAAACCAAAAAACAGAGTCTTGAAAGTTTAAGCCGTAAGACAACACTTTAGTATATATGATATTGTTCACTATCAGTCTCACTGGAAAGCACACGCTTAAGTGGTAGGCAGCACTCACAGCCTCCATGACATGAGGAAGACTGTTTGGCCTCTGTGGCTGTCAAAGCACAGACCACTCTTCTCCAGGGAGTGAACCAAGCAACCACTGCTTTAGACTGTGCTTCCCATGTGGGACATGGTGGTGCACACTTTTATTCCTAGCACTCTAGGAGACTGAGGCAGGTGGATCTCTGTGAGTTGGAGGCCAGCTTGGTATACAGAGTGAGTTCCAGGACAGGCAGGGCTACATAATGAGAACCTGTCTCAAAATAGCAACAAAACAAAACAAAAAACAAAGGCATGCCTGGAAGCGTGGGTGAATCCACGAGAGTCCGAAATAAAGGGATATGAAATATTTATTGGGGTCACCGAAGCCACTGTGGTCCTCTGCGCTCAGGGCAGCTAGAAGCTGCAATCAGATTTCTGATCACCACACAAGAGAGTGAGACCTTTCCTCTCCCTCATAAGAGATCATGTCCACACATAGAAGCCACTGAGGCTCCTACCCAAAAACTGTTGGCAGAAAGAAATTCCCACAACAAATGACCCATCCCCAAAGGGTCATTTGTTTCTTTACTGAGACAGATTTAAAGGCATCTCTCCCTCTGTACTAGAATCAAATCACAGGTCTCAGATATATGAGGCAGGTACCCACCCACTGAATTGTATTCTCAGCTCATTTTCTACTTTTTTTTTATATTTATTTATTATGTATATAACATTCTGCCTCCATGTATGCCCACATGCCAGAGGAGGGCGCCAGACCTCTTTACAGATGGTTGTGAGCCACCATGTGGTTGCTGGGAATTGAACTCAGGAACTTTGGAAGAGCAGGCAATGCTCTTAACCACTGAGCCATCTCTCCAGCCCTCATTTTCTACTTTTTATTCTGAGACAGGATAAGAAGCGTCCAAGGTAAGCTTTGAACTCACTATGTAGCACAAGTTGACCTTGAACTTGTGATCCTCCTACTTCAGTCTAAGTAGCTAGGATTGCAGACCCTTATGCCCAGGCCCAGTTAAGGGAATACTTCTTGACAAATCATTTTTAAATATTTATTTTTATTTGTGTGCATGTGCACATGTGTGCACGCATGCGTGTGTGTGTGTGTACTTGTAGCTAGGGAGGCCTGAAGAAGGCCTCAGGTCCCCTGGAGCTGGAGTCATGGCAGTTCAGAGCCACCTGACGCGTGTGCTGGGAAAATCCAACTCCCCCTGGAAGTGCAATTGCTCTTCACTGCTGAGCCATCTCTCCAGACCTTGAAAAACCACTTTTTAATAGACTCCTTGTTTAGTTCATTGTTTCGCTAAGAAGAGTAAGGAAAGGCTGAGAAGGAGCCAGCTCCGTAAATTAATGTGGACCTATTAAATTAAATTAATGTGTATTTATTAAGGAAAAGCGAGAAAGGAAATAGAAAGTGGGAGGGGTTCCAAGGATCAAGGATACTGCCAGGCTGCCGTGTTGCCCGATTGGTGATGTTCTATGAGACTTAGGGTGGGAACTAACTTAGAACTGAGGTCGTTTTTTATTAAGACTGGTAATTCTGAGCACATGGCAGGGCTGGCTAGCCAGCGAGAAGTTCACATACCTTATGTATGCATGGCTCTTCGGCTCCACAGGAAGGGTAATCCTGTGTTAATGGTCCAGTCAAAGGAATGGTCACAGGTCTCACGATCCACAATGGGCCCTGCCCTTACCTCCGGAAGCCAGTGCCTGTCTCAAGGGTTGCACATTTCCCATGATTCCCTTCTGCCCACCACTTCTGCTGCTGCTGCGGTGCTGCGGTGGTGGCGGCTGCTGCGGTGGTGGCGGCTGCTGCAGATTGCTTCTTTTTCTAGTCCAGTTGCTGCCTTTTTAATTTGGGTTCAGCTCAGCCCACTCTCCTGAAAGCAGAAAAGAAAATGCTCAGGAGAGACATTTTGTTGGGTATAATCACAAGAACAGGATGGGCGACTGTCTCTCCCTAGCTCCCAAAGCCTGATGTTGTAGCTAGAGGAGAAGAGGTGTCCAGGCACAGCAAACCGCCCACGCTCGGTGTTTACTCCAGTCATGGCTTTGTCCTTTTGAGATTCTTACAATCCCTCCTCCCTCTGCTTGGGACACCTTTATGTCCGAGAGCCTATGCCTATGTGACATAGCTATATAAAACAAGTACGCATATCAAACGTTTACGGTTATAGCCACATACGGTGGTGCATGCCTGTAACCCTTAGCACTTGGGAAATAGAAACAGAAGGCCTAGTAGTTCAAGACCATCCTCAGCTACATAGTGAGTTCAGAGCCGCCTGGGCTACCTGAGGGCCTGTCTCACACAACATTAAAACAAACAAACAAAGGACATTGTAATTCACAACGTACTGCAGTCCTGCCCCAGAGCAGACCTGTGTGATTGGCGGCTTTGGGTGGTGTGATGACATGCACGGTGTGTGTTGTATGTTCAGAACCAAAGATGTAGAGAGGTCACATGACACATGATTGGATCCTGCCAGAAACACCTCAGGTTCATTATGTTTGATTTGGGGGTTTAATTTTCAGCCATTTCCAGTTCAGAAACATTTTACTGTTGGCAAATTCTTCATGACACATTCAGTTATACGACCCCCTATGAGGCTGGGACCCACAGTTAAGCTAGTTAGGCCTGCAGGGGAAATGCACAGCCTCTAGCTTGGGTGGCGATTGTGGCAGAGTCAGCTAGAGTTCACGGACACTGGCGATTGCACCAAGTTGTGATGTAAACTCTTTGAAATGGTCGTGCCTGGGACTGTGGCTTCGGGACCTCGAGTAAGCAGCTGCCACCATCAAGTAGTTTCCGTCACACGCTGGAGCTGGCACGTGGCTAGAATGGCTAGCTGTTTAACCCGAGCATCTGAGACAGCAAGAGAGTCCAAGAGCTGGCAGTTAGGGAGTCAAACTGCCCATCCCCCGCTGGCTTACAGGAAAACATCCGAAGGAGTGCTTACAGTAAGAACTAGAAGAACATATTCTACCATTAACTGATTCTAAACAGATTTTAGCAGTGCTTCAACAATACTTAACACCTGCCCAGCCCACCCCCAGGGAGTCGTGGGTCCCTCCCCAGCTCTCTTAATAGGAACAGGATGTTCTGAACCGACAGCCTTGTCATTTGGAGAATGCTGAAATGCTCTATTCATATGTGGTAACTTGAATTGGTTTGCAGTCCTGGCGGGACTCGCTCGCCTCTTCCTCCGCTTTTTATGGACTTTGCTTTTTAGTCCTTCTGAGCACAGCGGGCCCCAAATGCCAAAATGGGAGGACCTTTGTCACCTGGGGGACATAGTTTTGTTTTCCCTAAGTTTTCAGTAATCTGACCTTGGAAATACCGCACATTTCCAGTCCCGAGCCTTCAATATGAGGGGTTTGTCCATACACGATTGCTGTGAGGCTGGAAATCTCGGGATGGTTGGTGATATTCTTTTCCTACGTTACAGCTGAAGAAGACCCGCCTGAGCCAAAGGCATTCCTGGATCCAGAGGATGAGATCCCAGTCAGCCGTAAGCATGAACTCCAGATAGTACATGGGGTGACAAAGGGAGAGGGTGCCACAACAGAGGCAAGGACCCAGGCCCAAGCCAGAAGAATGAGGCTGCATCTGACTAGAGGAGACCCTGGTGTGATCCAAGCAGCCAAGTGGGAGGGTGATCAGGAAAACATCTGAGGCCTGGGGAGGGAAATAGAAGAGGTTTTATTTTTAGGCTGGGAAGATTATAAAAACAACAGGCCAGAGAGGAGAGTCCTGCATCAGAAAGCAAAGGACTTCCTAACTGCAGGGTGTGCAAGCGATTAGTCCCCTGCCCCCAGGAGACCTTTAGCAAGGAGCCCAGCTACGGGTGTGGGTAGAAGAATTGGTCCTTAGGCTCCTAGCACACTCTCCGGAGGTTGCCAGGGACACACACACACACACACACACACACACACACACACTCACACACACCCTCTTCTCTGTCCTCTTAGACCTGTACGCTGCACCAAACTCCTGCCAGGGCCGCTGCCGGGAAGCCTACGACAAGCACCAGCCTTGCCACTGCAATGACCGATGCCAAGAGTTTGGGAACTGCTGTGAAGATTTTTACAGCCTGTGCAGTAGCCATGGTCAGTCTGCTTCGGCAGCATACCCCCCCCCCCCCCCCCCCCCCCCCCCCCCCCCCCCCCCCCCCCCCCCCCCCCCCCCCCCCCCCCCCCCCCGCCACACACACACACGGGAACTCTCTAGAGTTCTCCCAGTGTGGTCCTTGGACCCATGACATCAGGAGCATCTGAGAATCCTTAGGCGAGGTGACCAGCCCTAGGCCTGTGCCCCAGACCAACTGCTCAGAACCTCTGGACTTGGTTCATCACTCTGATTAAACCTTCCAGGGGATTCTAATGCCTGCCTCAGTTTGGAACCTGATGTGGGCTTTCTGTGCGCACCTTGACAATGATTCGTGCTGACCTTAACGGTCAAGATAGCCCTCTAATTGCAGAGTATTGGGTGGTGTTCCCCTCACTAGAGCAAGCTTCCTTCCAGAAGGGGCCAAGAGGGGGGTGTTATTGATCTTCAGACAGTGCCCTGCCTTCCTCCAGCTCTCAGACCACCCCTCTCCCAATTCCTCTCAGAGGGCTTCTCCCACCGCAGCGATGCTGTAACCAACGAGGACCTTCAGAGTATCTCTGAGACCATCTACAGGGTAGACACCAATAAAGCCCACAAGGAAGACATTGTCCTCAACAGTCAAAACCGTGTCTCCCCATCAGAGACAGGGAACCAAGTGGACCGCTGTCCGGAGCCGTGAGTGCCCCTCACCCCTCATAACCCTCACTCTATCTGTCCTCCGCCCTCACTTTCAGATCTTGCTCCGCAAGTCAAGCAAGCTCAAAGGAGAGGGAGACAATTTAATTTCCAGAAACAAAAAAATCACCTTGAGGGTAGGTAGGTGGATAGCCAAAAGGTTTCTGTGGCTGGCCAGGCTAAGATAATGCTGATCTTACGATCAGTGAGGTAGAAGACAGACCTCAGAGTTGCCTTTCAAAAGCCCCTCACGTTGCCTTTGCTCATGAACCCTGAACCCATCCATCTCTATGTGCTGCCCCTGGCCTGTTTACAAGATTCTGGGAGAGTGTCTACAGCATGTTCAGGCCTCCTAATGGGTCTCCATCCACTTGCCGCAGGCTTTTCACTTACGTCAACGAGCAGCTGTTCACCAAGCCTACCTACGCAGCTTTCATCAACCTCCTCAACAATTACCAGCGGGCCACCGGCCGTGGGGAGCACTTCGGTGCCCAAGAGCTGGAGGAGCAGGCTCTCTTCCTCAGGGAGGTCATGAAGACAGCTGTCATGAAGGAGCTCTATGGTTTTCTCCATCACCAGAGTGAGTGAGCCACAAAGCTGTGGGGTGAGGTGTGAATCTAGGAGAGCCAGACACTGCTGAGGTCTCTGGTGGCGGCTGCAGTGGCAGCGGTGGTGGTGGCAGTGGCGGCGGTGGTGGTGGTGGTGGTGGCAGTGGCGGTGGTGGCGGTGGTGGTGGTGGTAGTGGCGGTGGCGG